GTGTGAAAATTGTGAGCTGGTGGTTCAGTTTACGGGCTATAATCTACTGCTAATGAGCATCTGGAGTGAGGTTAAAAAGAGAGGTTTTCCTAAATTCCACTTACATAAAGCTTCAGGTTCTTGTCGGGTGAACCTTGCTGTGCTGGCGTTGGTGCAGAACCGAGTACGAAGCTACAAAACACGAAGGACTGGTGACATCTGCAAAGCCTGATTCAGCGCGACCCAGCGTGCCTGCTGTGAAGAACGGGAGTCGGCTTTTCCTTCGGGCGTCTGATGTGATCGCTCCAGCCTTTGCTTATTCCAAAGCATGGGAAAGCGTAGGAAGCTCCAGCTGAACCCGAGGAAGAACTTCTTCCCTCTGAGGGTGATGGAGCCCTGGCCCAGGCTGCCCAGAGGGGCTGGGGGGGCTCCTTCCCTTGCCCAGAGGGGCTGGGGAGTCTCCTTCTCTGGAGATATTCAAGCCCCCGTGGACGTGGTCCTGTGCAGCCTGCTCTGGGTGACCCTGCTTGGGCAGGGGGTTGGGCTGGGGGATCCCAGAGGTCCCTTCCAACCCCCTACCGTTCTGTGGTTCTTTGAACCATAATCCAGTCAGCTGTGCCTGTGCATAAAGGTGAAGAGCTCCCAACCTTTCATCTCTGGATTTCCACCAAGAGGTAATTTTTCAGGGCCTTTAAACCAACAGAACTGCGATTGCTGCTGGAGGTCTGATCTGGCTGGAAGTCCAGACTTTTATTGTTGAAGAAAAGAAAAGAGGGTAGATTTAATGGAATTCATTTCCATAATATACTTGCATGGAATTGCATAAACAACAATATTAGTGTAACAGCATTGTTCATAAAGAATGTGAAATATTGCCTTACACAGGCGTGAGCCGGTAGGTATGTGTCGGTGGCCGTGCACTGCTGACGCCGACTTTCCTGTAGTTCAAGGAGTAGGAGCCTTTGTGTTTTTGGAACAAGAGGATCTGTGTTCCCGCGTCACCATGGAAGTCGGTGACCCTGGGCTGCTGCACAGTGGCCGCGTGGGTCAGCCCGTCGTGAACCAGCCCGTACAAGTGCCCATTGTGCGTTCTTGTGCCTCTTGACGTACACAGTTCTGTATCTTCAGCTCTGTTTGTATTTTTCCTGAGTGCAGCTTGGTGGTTGTGGTCCGACATGGTGAGGATTGGTCATAAAACGATGACTCACTTCGCCTGAGCTCCCTCGTGTCCTTTGGTTTGGATGAATTTGTTGGTGGAACTCAGAACTTGTTGCTTCCATGCCCTTGTTCTCTACTAATTCTCAACCAGGCACTGCTGTATCTTCAGCTCTATTTGTATTTTTCCTGAGTGCAGCTTGGTGGTTCTGGTCTGATACAGTGAGGATTGGTCGTAAAACGTTGACGCGCTTTGCCTGAGCTCCTTTGTGTCCTGTGGTTTGGATGAATTTGTTGGTGGAACTCAGAACTTGTTGCTTCCATGCCCTTGTTCTCTACTAATTCTCAACCAGGCACTGCTGTATCTTCAGCTCTATTTGTATTTTTCCTGAGTGCAGCTTGGTGGTTCTGGTCTGATATGGTGAGGATTGGTCGTAAAATGTTGATGCGCTTTGACTGAGCTCCTTCGTGTCCTGTGGTTTGGATGAATTTGTTGGTGGAACTCAGAACTTGTTGCTTCCATGCCCTCGTTCTCTACGAATTCTCAACCAGGCACTGCTACGTTGGCTTGCTGGGCTCGTAGAGTAGAGTAAATCTTTGATGCACAGGGGGGGTCTCGGCACAGATTGTGCATCCAATGATGTAACGCAGATCGGCATCAAACTGCTCTGGGCTTCCAGACGTCGGCCGGAATTAAAGGAAGCTGAGCCACCATAGCAGGAGTTGTAAGTGTGCCAGTTGAGGTACTAATGGCCCTTTATGGTTATGATTTTTACAGCTTGTACCAGACAATTTCTGCAAATGGCTGAAATGTCGAACTGGAGCTCTGGATGCCTTTGCTGTCTCGGTAGCATCGTGCGTACGGGACGCTGACTAACACGGATAAAAGGCTCATTTCTGAACCTTGCTTCCAGAGCAATCAGAACTGGGGGGTTTTGCTCCATTAGACAGCTCTCCATAGATTCACGTCAGTGTTTGATGGCTGTTGTTCCTAATAATAACTTCAAAAGGATGAAATGTGAAAAAAATAAAGAGTTGCATATGGGTGTATTTGTTATGCCAGCCTGAAAGCTTTAGCTGCAACACAGATGAATCGGTTCAGGTACGTTTTCTCTTTAGGGACAGGAAGTTAAATTGAATGCTGAGATACAAATGGGAGAGGAAAACATAGATGATGATTCCTTCTACTTCATGTTCCCCACTAATAGCTTTGTATATCATAGAATGTTGGGGGTTGGAAGGGACCTCTGTGGGTCACCCATTCCAGCCCCCTGCCGAAGCAGTGTCACCCAGAGCAGGCTGTGCAGGACCTTGTC